GGTCGAGATTAAAAATATAAATTTACATTGTTAGACAGATTAGTTGAGCATAAACTATTGACTTCTCGTGTGGGAGCCGAAACCGCAGACGTCGACCATGAGACCAGAATGCAACACGGAGGTACAGCGCAGAGGCAGGTCGTTTTCGGAATGGAATTGTGTGTCTTATAACCAAAGCATTTTAAAGCTGCGAATACAGCGCACAACACAGTCCACAGAGGTTCCGCATACGCAAGTGTTTCGTAAACAATCTTTATGCATGAACTGAGAACCTTTAATCGCGCATCTGTGTGATAACTCAGAACTCGGTAACTCTGTCGCATAGAACAGACGAGTCAAAGAAAACAGCGGATTAAGTTTTCGGCATCGTTCCGGCTCATATTATCAACGAATCCGTCATGGTGTTCTCTACTTTCTCCATCACTGGCCTTCGTCGTTTGTCTCCGTTTTGCAGGCGGCAGGGATGCACGTCGAACATCATGTTTTGCGAAGACCGCAGAGCCCAGGCTGACAAAAGCGACAGCAGAAAACATTCGTAAACCATCACTGCGTGGTTCCAAACTATAATATATAAAACGAAGTTTACAGCTAGATATTTGATGATTAGCATGTTCAGACCTGAGCTGATATTAGATCGGACATAGCTGGTTACTGTAACATTGCAATAATGCAGATATTGAAGTAAATATTGTGATCGTGGAAGTTAGGTCACCTTTTATTGCTGTGTATTAGACAGCCTGGGCAGCTGATGATAAAGCGCTGGACTGGCCGACAAAGAATAGCGGGCTCAAATGAAGGGCAGGCCAATGTCCTTTTATCAATGTGGACAGGGCATTTGAGAAGACGGCAAAATCTCATAAAAACGAATTAGTATCGATAGCATTGAAGAATAAGCGGGAAATGTTCGATCCAGGTAGAACGGTTGTGCGGTGGTTTTCAAATGCAATGGGATAAGATGCAGAAAAGTCGGTGTTCAGCTATACGGTATTTCTGCAGTCTGTTGATGCACAACTGCATCACAACATTTGACTTGAACAGCATGCATTTAATGGCACCAAACGAAAGTTTTAGTTCCAACAATAGACGTTCTCGTGGCCCCAACTAGAATTTTTTGCGAGTATCACTGTATGACAACAGCATAAGTTTGGTTAATATTAAAACAGTAAAAAAATGACTCCATGAAACAAGCGTGATATCCGAATTCTAAAACAAAATGACCATTTCTTCATCAAGACACTGAGTCTTTGATGAAACGTGACGTATTTTAACATGTTATTCTCGATTTCAGAACTCTTTATTTTTGATATATGTTGAGCAGACTTACAATTTGTGACCGACTGATTCGGGAGTAGCGAGTTGCATTGCCAGCAACTCGTCACCCATAAGAATATCGGGGCCTGCACGCCGTAGAGTACCATGAAGAACTGTACGAATCGCATTAGTGGTATGAGTTTCAGGTGCTGTAATACGGGTGAGGTGGTTCTCGTTAGAACATGTACTCCGTACAGGGCGAAGGTCATCGAAACGACGTTCACCGTGTTGAACAGCGTTTTGATAAAGTCGTCCTGTAGTACTTAGCAGTAGACTGGGTGATACTCTTCGTACGAACCTACCGACTTGTACTCGTCCCATTTGTCAAGGAGGATCACGCTGGCCATGTAAACCGTCAACGGACGAATCACAGCGTTTTGGTAAACCAACAGCCGAAGAATTCGAATATTCCTTCTAAACACAGTTGAACGGTGAAAAGGTAGTGATTGATTGTTCATGGTAATTGATTGTTTATCTTTTATTAAAGTACATACTCTGTAAAAAATTATGCACAAATGTACGTATATGCATATTTACAAAAAACAAGATGCGGAATAACCAATGATGATGAGCAGGAAACGGGTTGGTCGACAGAAATTAATGCAGATGAATATGCAAAGTGCAGCTTAACATGAGAGGATCGATTCGAGCAGATTTCACCTTTCTCGTTCTTAGCACTGTAAAGCCCAAGCCATCTGCGGGATTGCATACTGTTTAGTACAGTTTACTATT